ATCCAGAAGTTAAATCTGGCCCATTTACTGCAATACATATATGAAAATCAAAGGAAAGGGGGAAAAGCTATAGCTGGATCTCGATCAGATTGTGAGTGCCTTCATGAAGCATGACAGACAAGTATTTTGCAGGGTTTTTTTCTAAACACATTTTATTCAGGTTTAGTTTACCTTTGTGGGTTTTAATTAATTCTAGGGTTTCTTATGTCTTACAATAGCCATTCAGATAACAGCAGTAATAAATGAAAAGTAATAAAAATAAACAAATATTCTAATGCATTCTTAAAAACTTTATTAGTGTGACACAGGTTCTCAGTACAGACTGCGAAGTACAGTCAAAGTCTAAATATCCCCAGTTTAAATCTCTGTGCTGCCTCTGTCTGCAATGCTACATACAAGAGTCAGATTTTGTTATCGAATGTTGGTATGGCCTTCCTTCTTCACAAAGAAGTGGTACACATGTGAGGACTGAGGAAAACAAATGGAGGCACTTGGCCACCTCTGTCAGGACAGCCCAGTCTGCAAAAGACTTGCAAGAGGCACCTACTTGTGCCTGTTCATTGCAGAGCAGGTGAATATGATGTTACTTGCAGCACGAACTTCTGCCCTACGTTCCCTGCTGGAGTGCAAGGAACAGAGGCGAGGACTAAAAACAGTGCAAAATAAAATAAAATAAAAAGGAGTGCGCTTGTTGACCTGAACTTCTCTTTAATCTCTGGTAATGCTTGTGTACCTTCTTTATTTCCACTGCTGTGATGGTAATGGTGTCATTGTTACACTAGGATTTATATTTGTTCAGTCCAGGAGACTCAGAAATTACAAGATAACAGTACAGATACCACTGGAAGTAGAAGCCTAAAATCCTTGTCTGGTGTGTTTTTCTTGTTTTAACTACAATTAAGGCAGCATCCCAAATACCTCTTTTATTACTACATGTGCTTGATGAAGCAGTTAATCCCCAGTTTTTCAGTCTTTAGCTACCACAGCTTACTTACGGTCTACCAGGAACTGGCTTGCGGAAAGAATTCACAGCCAGGCTGAGGATAACTAAAGCTCAGTATATTCCAGAATACTTAATGCATTCACTGCAATGTTAAAAATGCTAGCGCATACCAATTCTTCTGAGATTTACAGGCACTATGTGGAGATTATGTGCAAAAGTCTGCAGGTTTTTTTTCTTTGGCATTGCTACTATGAAATATATTTGTTGCAAATATAAAGCATCCTTTCCCTCTGAAAACTGAAGAAAATTACGAAAAAGTCGAAGTATATGAGTATAATAAAATTAATCGCTAGGTTGGAAAAAAAACCCCACCCCTAATACAACTTAGGCCACTACTGAGAAAAAAGAAAATATGTAAAAAGTCCAGCAAGTTTCACCATACAAAGTCCACCCAGCATAACCATATGTTTTTTGCATCAGCTTTTGTTCTTCGAGAATTATTATCCACCAAGAGAAAGAAGATGTTTTATGTGATGCACCAAGATCCTGGAGGGAAGAAAGAGGGAAAAAAAGTTAAGAGTGCTCATCTTCTTTGAGAAAAACTTCACAAAATATATCTGGGATGAATTATCAGAAGCAAGTCTCCAGATAGAAAAAAACCCAGGAAGACCTAGTATCACAAGACACCAAATGTTTGAAAGTGATACTGCAGTGAGGGCAGCCGCCTGCTGCAGACAGCAGTAATGATGCATCTTTGTCTTGCCCATTTGAGGTCAATTGCCAAATCTACCCACAGGATTTTGCTGCATACACTCACTTCTCCCAGGGGAGCCAGAACCACATCTGCAGGTAAAGAAGAGCAGCTCCCCTGAGGTTCTTCAGGGTGCTAGAGCTGGGATACTCCTGGCCCGCCTGTGGTGGATGGATCCAGCACAGGATGTGCTCCAGCCTCTCCCCTCCATGCCACAGGAACCCCCCCTGCCCCAACCTGAAGCACACGTATCAAGCACTGAGGTGTAGTTAAGTGAATGCCTCCATGAACTAACAGTGATGATTAAAGACTCAAATTACTTTCTCTTACGTTACAGGTGTGATCAAGCCAAGTACAAAGAAGTACGTGGTGTCGGTGGAATATGTGCACAGAACGAGGCTGTACTTGTGCCAGGGAAGCGGAGAGCAGAGCACTGAAACCTGCTCTACTTGCCAGTTTATCTGGGAGGCCTTTTACACCTGTCGTGCCTGCTGTTCTGAAATCAGCCAGGTGCAGAAGTACTGACAATGGCTCGCTGTCCTAAAGATAAAAACAAGCAGCTAACATGTGCTTGTTCTTCAGTAGTCTAAAAATGTCTTACGGGGGAAGCAGAATGTCATGCGTTGGAATCCTCAGTTACAGAAACCTAAAGGAATGCACCTGCATGGAAGTATGGACATGGAGTGTGAAGAAAAAGTAAATTGTCTTCTGCCCAGAAACACTGAGCTTCAAAGTCATTCCAAGTCCGTGTCTTAACAGTGTCTATAACCATGTCTAGGTTTAGTAAAATGCTGTGAGCAAAAACCTGGTTTCAATAACACTAGCATGAGTTCTCTTTGTGACAGTTAAGAAAAGGGAGAGGAAGAAATCTCACCTGATGATGTTAACGTTTAGCTTGTTTTCTGCTTCTCAGATTTGCTGCTGGAGGACTGTCCCTTTGCCTGAAGAAGAGAAGCGTAACACAGTAAGAAACAGTAAACTACACTAAAATCTGAAATAAAACAGTGACAGATACTTATCAGAAGTCACAGTTCAGACATGAGTATGATCTGCATTTAAAATGCAGAAAGTTTAGCAACTGTATTTGTAACTTCTATGTATTTTCATTTTTCCATGAACACTTTATGTTTCAGATATGCCTTCTTCATATTCTACTTCTGAACATCCTTTTACCCATGTTAGTGATGAAGTCACAATTCAGAACATTAGAAAATACATCCTTCTGAAAAGCAGTTAAAGACCCCCCCGTTTAACAAAAAATTGAAAGGCATTTCTGTTGTTACATAAAGGCATGTGTGGCAATTTCATAATAAAGAAAAATGCCATCACTTGAAAAGTGAAACCTAAGATTTCCTGAGAAGGTATTACGATCTGATTCAGGCATCTACCAGCACATATCCTGTGAAAGAAGGCGATGGGAAAAATCCATTTTTTGTATTTCTGGATGACAAAGGCCAAGCTGATCTTTTTTTTTTTTTCTGTTAAATATATACAGAATCAACTGACTTCCTTTTCCTTTTCCCACCAGATTCATTCTGCATACTTATTTATAAATAAAGGTAGGTTTTTATTCTTTTTTTTTTTACAATGAATAATAATAATATAAGAAACAGACATGTGGCTGAAGGTGTCGCTAATCTGTTTTTTAATCACTTTTAGAATGCTGCTATTTAAAAGAGAAGTGATGGGGATCTTGAGACAGCTACAGGCATGTGAAGTGTGACTTTTGAATCAGCAAACATGGGAATGAAAAGCCTGGGGAGCATGCACTGAGCCCCCTGTAGAATACCATACTCTCTCTGAAAAAAAACGTATTTTAGCCACCTTTTATTGAAGATTTTCTTTGTAATAGGAAGGTGCTTGACTCCTATGTACATGCTTACAAAAATATATCAAGTTCAACCTATCCATGTAAAATTCTCCCCAGAATAACAGCCATGTAATATGAATCCAAAACCCAGCTGCCCACGTTTCGCATTTATAGGGTATGGTAACTATGGCTGTCCATATTATAATACATATGTTTCTACCGTTTTAGGGTCTTTGGGTTTTCCTTTAGCCTTCGGGGTTGGCTTAGTGGCTTCCTTTCCACTTTTGTCCTACACTCCAAAGAAAAAAAATAATTACAGTTACAAACAGAATAGAGAACTGATGGCCCCTACTTCAGCATCTGCCATAACACGTTTTTTTAAATGCAGCTGGTAGGGTGGGAAGAAGCTCAACGCAGGACGCATGCATGTAATTACTGCCACTAGTCCATGGCAAGGTGGAATCTCGAGCTTCATTTAATACTGTGGAGATGAGGGCACCAGAAAGCATACTGAGATAAAAAGCCTTGTATATGGGCAGATTTTGTTATTTACTACAAAGCAATAATGTTGCAGCAGCAGATTTAGCTCCAAAGTTCAAAACCAAACAAAACAGCTCTTAAAACACCTATAGTCTGTCTCAAGCCATCTGACGACCTGGTGTCAACGTAAGCACTTGGGGAAGTACTGCAGTGGCCAGAAGAGTTACTTGGAAACAGGAATTTCCTCCCAGGAATTACATCTGATGTGAACTTCAGTGTGCAAGCTGCTTCTTCTTTGCCCCCCGGGAGAGGAACAAACACAGCATAAAAGCACAGATAATCATAATCAACATTTTAAGTATGGACAAACTTGTAATTCAGTCTTGTTAACTGGGTGCCTTGTACTATACACTTAAAGAAATTAATGTAAAAGTTCACCTGGGAACTGGTTATGCTTCCACACCTGTGTCTGTCCAAGGGATTTAATTTTTGACTGCTAATATACTGCTTTGGTCAAAGATCAAATATCTTGTAACTTCAAGCTATTTTCTTTTTTCCTTTCTCCTTGCAGGAATCAGGCAGGGATAGGCTGGCAGAAGTCAGTATCCATGAGAGACAACAGCAGTGCTTGACACAGTTAAGTACAAAAAGTATTCATCATTCAAAACCACATGTACCAGTCCTTCTGTCTTCAGGTGAGAGAGCAGGGTATAGGATAAAACACATCACATCACAGAACCACAGACTGATTTGAGTTGGAAGGGATCTTAAAGCTCATCCAGTTCCAACCCCCTGCCACAGGCAGGGACACCTTCCACTACACCAGGTTGCTCCAAGCACTGTCCAACCTGGCCTTGAGCACTGCCAGGGATGGGGCAGCCACAGCTTCTCTGGGCAACCTGTGCCAGGGCCTCAGCACCCTCACAGGGAAAAACTTCTTCCTAAAGTCTCATCTCAGTCTCCCCTCTGTCAGGTTAAAGCCATTCCCCTTTGTCCTGTCCCGACAGGCCCTTGTCCAAAGCCCCCCTCCAGGTTTCTTGCAGCCCCTTTAGGCACTGGACCTGCTCTAAGGTCTCCCCTTAAGGAGCCTTCTCTTCTCCAGGCTGAACCAGCCCAGCTATCTCAGCCTGTCTCCAGAGCAGAGCTGCTCCAGCCCTCGCAGCATCTCCGTAGCCTCCTCTGGACTCGCTCCAGCAGCTCCACATCCCTCTTGTGTTGTTGCCCCAGAGCTGGATCAGGACTGCAGGGGGGATCTCCCTAGAGCACAGTAGAAGAGAGAATCTCCTCCCTTGACCTGCTGCCCATGCTCTGGGGATGCAGCCCAACACACCGGGGGGTTCCTGGCTCAGGCACACACTGAAGCTGGGTCATGGGGAGACTCTACATACCACAATTCTTCCTTTTTCCAAACATCTAGTACGCAGCAAGACACATAAAACTTCCATCATAGTAGTAAGACAATCACTTTGGACAGCATCTTCCAAAAAGGCTAGCTCTAAACCTAAACTGAGCTACTGCAAACAGTGAGAAACTTTTCATAGAATAGTGAAAAACTGTTTATTTTCCAAGTTATTAGCAGAAAATGTCCTACCTTTGAGTGCTGTGGTGTGGCAGGAGCCTTTGCACAAGTATCAAAATCACCTGATAGGGCATCGATAGCTGCAGAGTCATCCACAGGCTTCTGCAATAGTTTTAATTCTGAAGTCACACAATATGCAATACTTCCCACAGTCAACTTAATGTTTCGGGGATTTATGTCTCCTTTAATTATGCTTTTCTTAAAACCAATCAAACAAACCCAAAACCAAAAACAAACAAAAAACCAACCAACCAAACAAACAAAAACCAAACAAAAAAAACCCCAAAAAAACAAACCCAAAACCAAACTATACCTGGGCTCTACACATATGTTAGGACAGAGATGTCTATTCGAGGTTTCCAAGACAAGCAGTTTCTTTCAATACTGGACCTGAACATTCACAGTGTAGTTGCATATAAAAACTGTAATTATTGTGAAAGTTAATCTTAACGTAAGTTTACTATCCACATGGTTACTATTACTTACTCCAGTCAATAGCATTTATGAGAATTTGCAATGAATCGTGTCTTGAGCCTACAATGACACTACTTTGGAAAACAAATCAGAGGACATGGCATGAAACAAGCACAGAACAAAAATACTATAAATGTTACCTTTGGGTCTTTGTGTTTCACATCACCCTTTGCTGTTGGCTTTACTGGTTTACCCTTGGGAAGAAGAAAGATTACATCCCCATTTTGAACTGGTTAGATCATTTTTAAGATACATGTATACTTCCGTATGACATTACAGATCACGAAGAAAGTTGATTTCTTTATTACTTGTGGTACGTACTCAAAGACAGTTCACAGTATCTTTTCATGGTCTATTACTACATTTGCAATATCATCTTTCTATCTCTGTAGTCTACTGGAAGAACAATTTTCCGATCCAGAAAAGATCAAATCACTGTCAGAGCAGCCACATGCTCCAGTGAATAGCAGTTTTACAGGGCTTTAGGTATACCACTAAGGTAATACCTGTATTATGCTTTATTTCCAAACTCAGAATGAAACTACTTGGAATGAATAAAGCATTATTACCCACAGTTTGCAAGTATGTCCTCTTTAAAAGCAGATTATAAAGACAAGCTGTTTAAGACGTGACACTTTTTTTCACCTAGTTTTCCAGAGCAGCTACAGTGTCACTGGCATCTCTACTGCTAAATCTGCAGGACACTGATGGCTACCGGATGGTTCAAAGTGATGTATTTGTTCAGACTGCTCAATTAAAACAAAACAAAACAAAACAAAACAAAATTCCCCAAAACCCAACAGCAAAGCAAAACCTACTCTTTTTGGTTTGTTTTTTGAATTAAATGCATGCAAGGATATACAGAGCTACTCTATCTGTAGGATATTTACATGTTTAACACAAATATAAAAATACAGTACACACTTCCTCAGCTTCCCTCTTCTCATAAAACCAATGAGGACAAACTCGCTCATACGCACAGATTAATGCTGTTGCAAGTCCAAACTAACAAACTTAATAAAACTAACTTTTCCTTACCTGCTCACCTGACTCCAGAAGTTCTCGATAGTCAGGTGGGATAGTATCGTCTCTTTCTCCAAGTTTGTCTCTGTGTTCAGATTTAGCCTTTTCCTGAAAGCATTTAAGTTTTTAACAGCTTGAGTATTTATGTTAGAAATATTAGCAAACAGTAGTCAGAGTACTCAATTAAATGTAGGACAGAACCTTTTTTAAAATTTTAAAACTATCAGAAAAAACCCCATATATTTATTTCACTATGAAGTGTGTTTCAGGCCTGAAAGTTTTAAAGTTACTAGCTCTCAATTAAGTGTACACATTTAGTAAGTTAGACATACATAAACAGCAGAATGCCAAAATAAACAAAAAAGAAGTTATATCAATTTTCAGTTCTCCTTTTCAACAATATGGCTAAAAGTAGTTATTCTATACTTCTGCATCAAATCTCATCCATGCACTGTAGCTTTAACACAAAGACAACATTCCTGCAATGTCTTATCCATGAATGCACCCCAGTACCTTCAGCAGAACTCAGGGTACGTATCCACCTCATGCCCAAACTGATCATGAGTGGCCTATACTTCTCATTGGACTTCAAAGCCAGGCTCAGTTTCATATCCAACACAACTCGAAGCCAGAGTAGCACAAGCTCTGGAGACTCCATCAAGGAGGGAAGCATTTCTTCCACTACATTTATTTTCCAATTTATGCTGCATAGATTTCTGGGAAACACACCAGAAATGTCCCAAACAAAACACCTGGTTTACATACAAGTAGTTTTTTAAGCACATTGTTGAAGAGTACTTTTGTATTTGTTAATGAAGACATTTTAAAGATTTTTTTGTTTTCATTTTTTGAACATAGGCATTTTCCCTATCTTTTATGAAGAACACCACATGAAGAAAGCTGGGCTCCTACAGCTCCACTGAAGCACAGCAGCTGCTGAGATCTCACACATCAAGCATTCATTCCTCTGCTATGGCAAGAGACAATGCTACCCAGGCTGCCTACTACCTACCCCAAAGGCAGCCAATAAACTCTGCACAGGAACCTGGTCTGAGATTAGAAATCTCCTTCTGGATTCCAGCCTGAATTTATTAATGGGCATCTTACGGTGGGTTTTTTTCTTCCAGTAACATCCTTTTTCTTAAGTAGTTCAGTTTACAATTTACTATTACTATTACACAGAAATGTGCCTGATTTTCTTATTAGAGGCAAGGTCTTTATACAATTACATGAAGAAAGACCAAATGAAGACAAAGCAAGCAGAAACAAGCAAGTTAAAAAATGGGACTGATTAAATGAAGACATCTGTTGACAAACTTGTTTTTTGTGGGGTTATACAAGTCCAAGTTTGACAAAAAGAAGGCTACAAAATTAATTTTTTTAACAGATGCCAGAGAAGACACCTGAAAAATAATTAGAATAATGTCAATAAAAGGCACTGAAAACAAATTATTGCAATTTCCTTTAATATTTAAACACCCACCCCTAAGTGGCTTATATATATTAACTAATTCAACATTTGTCACAAAACACACAGGTAATCCAGTTGGACCAAGAGTGGCTGACATGCCTATATGTAGGACAACATAAAAGTATATTATTTTTTCACTAGGCATCTTACTTCTGTAGCTAAAATCACATGCTGTATGCTCCTATGAATGTGTAAGACGTATTACAATATTAAAAAAAAAAAACCATAAAAAACCCCAAAACCCCCAACAAGTAAGGTAAGTAGCTCAGATTTTGTTTGGGTTTTTTTTCTTTTGTTTTTTTTTTCAGTTGTTTGTTTGGTTTATTTTCCCCACCAGATTGCACAAGTTTCAGAGTATCTTTTGTTACCTTTACTTTGTCCACAACCGGTTTGTTCTCATCAGGCTCAGGTTCCCTCTGTCCCAGGGAATGAGATAGGAGATCCAAGGCTTCATCCATCTCTTTCCCTCCCTAACAAAGTATGAACACATTCATGAACACAAATCTGCTGTAAAAATAATTCAATTCACCAAGCTAATACAAGTACTGACTAATGAACTGTCAACTTCAGTGAACAATGACCAATCAGCTCTCCCTTTGTAATTACAATGTAGTGCAATAGTGGGGAAAACAATCGCAGAATATTTAGACCTACAGAAAACATAATTTCAAGAAGAGGTTATGGAATGTATTTTAATGACTTTCTTTTGTTACACATACGCCTAAATGATCTAATGAGAACAGCTGTATGAAAAGACTAGGTTTTGGCAATCACCATTAATTTTGCAAACATCATTATCACTGAAGATTAGTTCCTAAAGAAGTGTCAATATTAATTAGAACTCACTAACATTTTTATCTTCAGAATATATATCTTTTGCCAATTCACACCAGCTTTACTCAAAAAACAGTTAGAAAAAAAGCCCATAAAACCAATAATAATGCAGGTGGGAGAACCTTTATAGTCCCCTCTCAAATTAGGCTGGAAACACTAGTGCACAACTGCACAGATCAAAATGGGGAAAAAAATGAGCCAGGCAACATGACCACTAAATGCAAGAAAGGGAAGTTCTGGTATTAAAAGGAGGTGCTGGTGCTGCCTGTCCCTTCTTTAACCTTGGACTCCTCCTTTACAAATGACTTTGCCACTATGGTGATGGCTATACTATTATTATCTTAAATGTTCTCATAATTTTTGTTACCTAACTAGGAAAAGAAAGGTGCTAAGGGCCCAAGCTACAAAATGAAACCACCTGCACATAGGTAACTACCTGCACTGACCCATAGAAACGAAATGCAGACATCCTCCAATGTGCTTTGTAACTCTGTCCACAAATTCACTTTTTTTTTTCCACCCAACGGGAACATTTTCTTTCCTCCCAGTTGCCAGTATTAGCAATAAAGTGTTTAACTGTGCCACAGTCTGTATCAATAAAACTGTCCGGAACATGCTCCCATCTCTCTTCATTAGTCAATTCTGAATTTCAGAATAGGATTTATGGAAAAGGTTGCTTACGGAGGTAGAAGCTAGAGAAGCTTCTGAGCGCACTGAAGAAACTGTAGCAGCAGAGATAATGTCAGAGGAATCTGCAGAATCTTTGCCCTTCCTGGTTTTCTGAAACAAGACACAGCATCGTTACTAACACAGAGGATTAAAAGAAAAACATGCATCAAATTCCACACCTCTAAAATGCAATGCCCATCCTCTTTATTTCTATGACTTCATTTTTCTTCAAAGCTCTACTTATTTCAGATCAAAGCCTCTTTCTGTGAAGGACTGCACAGCTGGTTTGCACCTCAGTTTGTTCATGTTCAATCTTCCCTCCCAACTACTGGGTTAAACCTTGCCATAGCTTAAGTCAGAGGCAGCTTTAATATAACTTCAGAGGAGCTAAGACTTCACCAAGCCCATCTATATTCCCAAGTAACGCTTTTAAAATTCTCAACTGCAAAGCATTACTTACGCAAGCAGCTGTTAAAAGATGACAACTAACTTACGTAGGTTTTTTTCTCATTATTAAAGTCCTGCTCTCCTATTAGTTTATTGCAAAAAATATTTTAAATTTTTAGTTGCTGAATTTCATTAAAGAACGCTTACATGAACTTTAAGGAAAACAAGTAAAATATCAAGATTGTTGAAAATAAAACAAATTTTCAGAAATCAAATATACTCACCTTTATTACAGTTGCTGTAGGTAATGGTGCAGATGGTGATGGAGAATAGGAAAATCCTTCTGACAAACCCTCTAAAAGATCATTTTCACTCATAGGCTAAGATTAAAAACAAAAAGAAAGAGGCTTGTAAGCATTCTGATCTACTAAAAAGTGAGCAGGTAACACAGTCTCTCCATTTTTTAACTGAAAACTGGGAAACCTTACTGACATTTGGGTAAGTAACTAATGAATGAAAACATTCCAAATATTCCAAATATTCACTTTTTTACCTGAGACTTTTCTTCTGGTTTTGGTAAGACTGGTTTTCCATCTTTACCCTACAAAATAAAAATCCCCTTGTATTATACCAAGCAATCTTTAAATGACTTTCAATATAAGTACTCTGAGAGCACTCAGTGAACAGAGTATTATAGCAACCTCTACCATCTATTGCTGTTACTCAAAGTATCATTTAATAAATGCAGGTTCTGTAACTTAAAAATATCTGAGCGCTGGGAAGTGATTCAGTGTGGGATTCTGAGTTTCCCTACTTCATGTTTCAATTTCCATAAAAATAGCACAATTAATAAATAAAATCCTAGCCTCTATTGCTATTGGTAACAATGATGCCAAACACAGCGTTCAGAAATGCCCTATCTTTTCACAACACCATCTGTTGTGAACAACAGTGGCAGATATTGTGAAAATCCTGGCTACACCTAAACTACCCACTTATGTCAAATGAGTCATGTGGTGATGTTTGCAAACATACCATCTTAAAGCACTTTTTAACAGCTTTAACCAATCACAATTTATTAAGTTCTAAAATACAGAGAGCTAATGAAAGATTCCAGGGTACTAATCTCAGCCTTAATTATTCATGTGTAGGGACTTACATCCAAACCACTTCTGTGCCTACGCAGGCATCTAATGATAGATGTCAGATATTCAGAAACTACAAACTGGAATTTTTATATGCTAAAAAAATGGCTGAACTGAACATCAACATATGAAATTGAAATGAAGTTTCAGTTTCATCTATGTATTCTTAGGAAAAAAAGGAAAGTAAGAGTAAAATAGCACTTTAAATAAATTACTTTTGCTTTTGTTAATCTGTACTCTGGAGGAATTGTTTCTTCATCTTCACCCAGTTTTTTGTGTTGTTCCTGTTTGGTTTTCTCCTATGAAGGCAAAATCAAAATAATATTGATAAAAATAAATAACTACATCCCAACAGAAATGCAGATGAGCAAGCTTTCCAGGTCTTCGGTCTCCTGATTCAAGTTAGTCTTTCTAATCCAGCTACCAGATAAAAATCTCGTGATAATTAAAAGAAAGCCTATTGTCTTGAGAAAGCCTTCATTTCTCTGCTGGTTCCTTCCTGTATATATCAGAAGTAGCTCTACCTATTTCAATGAAGATCAACAGAATTAAGTAAATAGACAACCACAGACCAATCAAAAATAGCATTATACCCGTCTTAACCCTCGACTTCTTTTGGAATCCTTTTAACAGCTATCTGGGCTGCATGCAAAGGTGCCCCTCAGGGATTGGTGCTGGGACCAATCTTGTTCAACATCTTTGCCGGTGACATGGACAGTGGGATTGAGTGCACCCTCAGCAAGTTTGCCGATGACACCAAGCTGTGTGGTTCTGTTGATAGGCTGGAGGGAAGGGATGGGATCCAGAGGGACCTTGACATGCTTGTGAGGTGGGCTGATGCCAACCTCATGAAGTCCAACCAAGCGGAGTGCAAGGTCCTACACATGGGTCGGGGCAATCCCAGCCACAGCTACAGGTTGGGCAGAGAAGAAATTCAGAGCAGCCCTGCGGAGAAGGACTTGGGGATGGTGGTCGATGAGAAGCTTGATATGACCCAGCAGTGTGCACTCGCAGCCCAGAAAGCCAACCATATCCTGGGCTGTATCAAAAGAAGCGTGACCAGCAGGTCAAAGGAGATGATCCTGCCCCTCTACTCTGCTCTCATGAGACCTCACTTGGAGTATTGTGTGCAGTTCTGGTGTCCTCAACATAAAAAGGACATGGAGCTGCTGGACCAAGTCCAGAGGAGGGCCACGAGGATGATCAGGGTGCGCGGAGGAGGATCAGGGAGCTGGGGCACCTCCCGTATGAAGACAGGCTGAGAAAGTTGGGGCTGTGCAGCCTGGAGAAGACAAGACTGCGTGGAGATCCCTTAGCAGCCTTCCAGTATCTGAAGGGGGCCTATAAGGATGCTGGAGAGGGACTTCATCAGGGACTGTAGTGACAGGACAAGGAGTAACGGGTTCAAACTTAAACAGGGGAAGTTTATGTTCGATATACGGAAGAAATTCTTTACAGTGAGGGTGGTGAGGCACTGGAATGGGTTGCCCAAGGAAGTTGTGAATACTCCCACCCTGACAGCGTTCAAGGCCAGGCTGGATGGGGTCTTGGGTGACAAGGTTTAGTGCAAGGTGTCCCTGCCCATGGCAGGGGGGTTGGAATTAGATGATCTTAAGGTCGTCTCGAACCCTAACTATTCTATGATCCTGTGATTCTAAAAGGTAGTAAAGCCAACTTTGCGAACTTCTGTTTGATGGAGTTCCAGCCCACTCGAAGAGCTTTCCTTTCTACTTGTGGCTCCAGTCAATATTACTTGGCCCATGGTTTGGGGTGGCAAATGGAAGTATTCAGACTGGGACTATGAACAGCATTCTCTTAAGACAGAAAACATACTTGAGTGAGTTGCTTAAGGCTCCCTGTTAAAATAACAAGGTAAGTGGCAATAGCCAGTTTTAGGTATCATTCCTAATTTAAACCAATCATAAATTTGGTTTCTTTTGAAATAAAGGCCACAATATTGCTACCTCTGAAACACATGTTAATTCTGCTTTTGTTCAGCAGTAAGACAGTAAACAGATGTAGTTTTCCGAAGCTGAGGGAAAAGTTGTACTGTAACAGTCAAAATTATCAAGAAAATATACTGCCTGTGCTGAAATCCTACTAGTACTTCCTAAGCAGAACACAACTGGTTTCACAAATAAATTTTGGGTTTTTTTGAAAAAAAAAAAAAAGTTGAAGTATTACCTCTAAATTGTTTCTAGTCTGAGGAAATACAGTAACACTGAAGATAATTACATCAGCAGTCTGTTTTTTGAGGTCTGATTCTTTCTCTACCTTAACTTTGTCCACAGCAGGCTTCTTTTCATCTGGATCAGGCTCCATCTTTGCTAGGGTACTGGATAAGGCCTCCAGTGCTTCATCTGCCACTTGGCCAACCTGTTGAGGTATTGATATAGTAAAAAACAATTCTTAGTTTGTAGTTCAGCTGCAGCTGAATACTGCCACACATTCCTTAAGGTAAAAACTGAGAAGTAACTGAAAAACAGTAATGCTTTTCTCCCTAATTGTTTTCACATACTTGGGATCTGCTGGGTTCAAGGCATAAGAAAACTTTGTCAGAGGCTGCTCTGTAAACAGGCTTCTCCTTTCCAAAGACTTAATCACAGCTAAAATATTCCACAGGGAGGTTGTTTGTTTTTTTAATAAAAGCATATACATTCTGAGAACAGACGCAAGGATGTTAGCCTTTAATGCCATCTTCCTTCAAAACATTCAGCAGGAAAATTGTAGAAACTGTCTTTTCCTGTGGTATCTATTAAATTCATAAGCAGCATCCCTTTTATATCAGTAAGTCTGGTCTGCTAGAGCAGACCAGAAGAATTGTCAGTTTGACTTCCTCTATTAAGAAGGTCACTGATCTTCCCCATTAAGTTTGTGCTTGACATTTTTTTGTTTGAAAGCACACTGTCTTTGTGGCTTACCTCTAAGGAGGAAGACTATGTGTCCTGGGTTCAGCTACAGCAGT